AAACTCAAAACTTTCTGCAAAGCAATAAACAGGCAGACTGGGAGAAAATATTTGCAGACATATAACTGATAAAAGTTCAAAATTGTTAATATTTTTAAAAAACTACAACTCAATAGGAGAAAAATAACTTGATTATAAAATGGGAAAAAGACCCGAATAGACTTCTCTCAAAGGAATATATACAAATGGTTGACAGGTATATGAAAAAATTCTCAAAAACACTAATTTACTAGGGTAATTCAAGTCTGAACCAGTTAACATATCACCTCACATCTGTTAGAATGGTTATTAACCAAAAGAAAAAATATAACAAGTGTTAGTGAGCATATGGAGAAAAGAGAACCCTATATGCTGCTAATAGGATGTAAATTAATATACAAAGTATGTGTAAAACAACATAAATTTTTCCTCAAAATTGAAAATTAAACTACCAACTACCATGTGATCCAACATTCCGGTCACTGGGTGTGTGTGTGTGTGTGTGTGTGTGTGTATATATATATATATATATATATATATATAAATGAAATCAGGATCTCCAAAATACATCTGTACTCCCATGTTAATTGCAGCATTATTCACAATAGCCAACAGCTATAAGCAACCTAAATGTTCATTGATGGATAAAGAACATGGGGTCTATACATATAATGGTATATAATTCAGCCTTTAAAAAGAAGGGAATTCATCATTTGTGGCAATATGGATGAACTTAGAGAACATTATGCTAAGTGATTTAAGACATACACGCAATGATCAAATACCAATGATTTCACTTATATGAGGAAGATAAAATAGTCAAATTTATATAAATAGAGACTAGACTGGTGATTGCCAGGATTTGGAGGCAGGGAGAAATAAGGAGGCATTGGTGAAAGGGTGCAAACATACAGTTAAACAAGAGGAGTAAGTCCTAGGGGTCTGCTCTACAGCATAGTGGCTATTTCATTACATTGAATAAATATGTACAGCCTTTTGTGTGCCAATCATAACTCAGTAAAGTGATTTAAAAATAACTGAAAAGAAAATGATAATGAATATCTTATGTGAGTTGTTTCTGTAAGAAAGAATACAAAATCCAAACATCTCAAACATTTTCAATGAAAATATATTCTGATGTAAAAGTTTTGCTTACTCAATAAAACACAGAATTTGTTTCTGCTAACAATGATGATATATCATAAAGAAATGTAGAATAACTCAAAAAAGAACTAAAAAAACAGATTTTGCTAACATAGGATCAAAAATATATATAGATACATAAGATAAGAAAAAGATTACAAAGGAAATAAAATAACTAAATAATGGGATGCTTTAAAATGTAGATCCATATATTTTCATTTAGTCATAGTCCATATATTATGTTTTGATTTCTGTTGTTATTAAATTAAAAATACAAACAAATAATTTGTAAAGAAATTTATGGCATCTCACTTGCCTTGCTGTAATTGTTTGAGAATGCAAATATTTACAAAATAAAAATTTAAGAGAACACAAATTTTACACACATTATCAAAAAGAAAAGCTATAGAGAAAGTAATCATAGACTAAAAATTAAAATTCACGAAAGAAAATAAGTTAGGAAAACAGTGACACACAATTCAAATTCAAATATCATGTAGTTAAAAATTCATGGTATAAAACATTTTTAAACTATATGTAAAATACCTTAGCTAGAAATAAAATTCAAGTATGTTTTAGTACTCAAGGACAGGTAACGGTTTATAGTTTATTTTACTGCTATTATAATGTATTAATTGTTTAGTTAATTGGTTTTGACAAACAGCTTTTTAAATTTGAACTTTGTCATTTGGTGACATGCAAAATTTTCTCTTGTTCACAGTTTTTTTTTTTTGATAATACATTTTATTAATCCTCATCTCTACATAGAATCTATTATATAATAAAAGATAAGAAGATACTAATTTTAAAAAATTATTATGACTGAGATGAAAAATAATGAGCATATATTACCTGAATGGGTAATGAACTGCATTCTTATAAAATAGAGAAAGAAGGCAACGAGATTGGTTCAATAAATAAATGTCTACTAATCATCATGTATGCCAGGGTCCTTGTCCATTGATGGGAGTCACTCAATATAAATTACAAGTCCTGTGATAAATAGTTCAAAATATTCTACCAGAAAGAATCACAAATAAGAATCATACTTCTTTTAATTTAATGGTATCAATTCCAAATAAAACCTTGTTTAGTTTACTTTCCAATATATTGTCATATAGACTGAGTTGAAGAGAAAGTATGAGGTTTATAGAGATACAGACTTAGGCTTTTAAAATCAATCTAGCTGGGCACAGTGGCTCATGCCTGTAATCCCAGCACTTTGGGAGGCCAAGGCGGAGGGATTGCCTGAAGCTTCTTGGGTGGCTGAGGTGGGAGGATTGCTTTAGCTTGGGAGGAGGAGGTTGTGATGAGCCATGATTGTACCACTGCACTCAAAGCTGTGTAACAGAGTGAGACTCTCACTCTAAATAAATAAATAAATAGTAAAAATTAAAATAAAATCAATCTAAGATGCTATTTCTATATAATTGGAATTTGTCATTGTAAGAATAGGGCTACATGACCGTTACAGGAGAATAAATTACTCAGGCAGGAAAATTTGAGAATCACAGATATGCCAAATGGTATAGTGGCCTGTGCTATTTAACAAATTACCCTCTCTCTTTTTTTAAAATCTATTAATACCTGGTATATAAGTGTAGCTTCTGTCACCTCCTGAAAGCCAGCTTGTTTTTTAATGTGAACTAGATTCATTTTTGTTCTCACTGTACCTCACATATTCTTCCATTATAAATTTTTTTTGCAATGCTATGTTAAGTCATGTGATGCTGCCAATATGTAACCATTTTTTTTTGCTGAAAAATAGCAACTCCATATGGTTCAATTTACTTTTTAAATTATCAAGTGGACTAGACACTACTTGAAATTATGAACATCGTCTCATTTGTCTTTCTGTATCTAGCACTTACAAAAAATCCCAAAGAAATTAGATAAATACCTGAAAAATGAATGAATACCATCTACCAAAATAAACTTAACAGCAACTAATTGATTACTTCTATTTCCTAAGCATATAACATTTATTGGAAGATACCGTCCCCCAAAAAGGAAAATAGAGTATATTAAACCTACTTATTATTAGATATGTGAATACAAAAACTGTTTTCTAAAACAAGCCTTACCAAACAAATTTTGTCGTCATATATATGCTGCTTTTCCTCTTAAATACATCTTTTACTGCATCCTAATGATTAAATATTTTCTCCAAATTGCTGTTGGCTACTCTCTAACTTTATTTTCCAAATATTCTTTCCTGTTGCTTAGAGTTCCAAGAATAGGTTATTCACTAACTTCCATCTTTTTCAAATGATCTGTACATTAGGATCAATGGAAAGTAACTTCTATTCTTCACAATATTTTATAAGTCACTGAAGTCTCCTACTGCTAGGTTAATGTTTTCTTCACTGCACCAACTGATTCAAAAGTGTTTTAATCATCTATGCTATATTTTAAAACCAGTAAGACAAAACTTAGAATGTTCCAAATTGAAAAAAACTCTTCTTCATATTAAAGTGACATATTTTCTATGTTTTGGTAGGTATCCAGTTTTAATTCTTTGAAACATAGACAACGTAATCAGGAGCTTTGCATACCATATACAAGCACACAGATCCTCAGTCCATGGAACTCTCTAAAAAATATATAGAGAACGCACACATATTTAAATAATATATAGGGAATATAAATTATTTTTTTAAAAAAGGACTTTCTTCCTTTAAAGATAGAATTACTTCAACATTTTTTAAAGAGGTTTAAAAAAGCAATTGAGTTTCTTAACCTGTACTTTGGCATCTCTGCTGTCAAATACATCATTTTGTCATTTATTCCTGCCTTTAGTGATGAAAAAATAAATATAATTCAGCAAACAAATATAATTCACAACTCACTTTTTTTCAAAAGAAATTGAATAGCTAATTTACAAGTTAACTTAGACATGCAAGTGTATCTTTTATTCATTTAATACTCTATTCTTTGCTTTAGAGAAAATCAGCAGGGCACTTTTTATTTAACACTTCTCAAACATAATTTGGAGGACAATTGAATCCCTACACAATGTAAAGCAAAGCCAATTACACTAATTGCAGCTCCTCTACACTTACCATCAATTGATTCATTTATTTTTGTTTGGTGGACAATTAGTTTAATTTTATCACATAAAATATTTCTGTCATACAAACAATGAACAAATACAAAAAATATTGCAAGGGAGAATTTTTATAGGAATGACTCTAAACAAAGCATTGCATAATCTATGTCATTCTGTTTTGAAAATTATATACCTAAAAAGTATATACAATGATCTAATGTTAAAATTATACACATATATAGTGCAACCAGAATTGATTATTTTTATTTGTGGTAGTTAAACATTACATAAAGTTGCCATGAATACAGAATTGGCTTGAACTGAACCATTGCTTCAAGTGAAGGTCAAGGGTTTTGTTTCTATACTGTGAACCTCTGGTCATGTTTGATCAACTGAAAGGCTATTTGTACTCTATGCTCTTTTGCCAGCATCTTTGAAAACAAGCCAGTCTCATCAGCATTGAAAATCTGGTCTTTCACCTTCGCTAGAGTACCTTACTAGCTATTTTAATAAGTCTTCCTTAGCCTTCTAATCTGTAAAACCTACCTCACTGCAAATTTAACACATTTTATGCCATATTGCCTTTTGAAATGTAGGATACAGCCAGTGCTGGCTAAGAAAGGTTTAACATTTCCTGACCCTGAGTAAAATGATCATAAATTTCTTAGACTTTCAGCATTATAACAATACTGTCCACTATGCTTTTCCTTTTCTAAAAATTAATGGACCTTCATTTTTAACCAGTTTTAAGTTTAGAGAAGAATGAGTACCAAGCAGAGATTTCCCATATATCCATAGTTTACATTAGGATTCACCCTTTGTGCTGCACATTTTAAGATTTTGACAAATGTATAAAGACATGTAGCTACCATTAAAGTACCATATGAAATAGTTTCAATGGCCTAAAAATCCCCAGTGCTCTAAACTATTCATTCATCTCACCTGGCAAACTTCTGGCAGCTACAGATCAATTTACAATGTCCATCATTTTGCCTTTTCCATAATATAATATGGTTGATATCATATAGTATATGGCTTCCCCAGATTAGCTTCCTTTACGTAAGAGTGTGCATTTATTATAAATTCCTTTTTTTAAAAAATTGTACTTTAGATTCTGGGGTACATGCATAGATCATGCAGGATTATTGCATAGGCATATACATGGCAAGGTGGTTTGCTGCCTCCATCCCCAATTACCTATATCTGGCATTTCTCCCCATATTATCTCTCCCCAACCTCCCCACCCCTGCTGGTCTCCCCTAGCCACCCCCCACAACAGACACCAGTATGTGATGCTCCCCTCCCTGTGTCCGTGTGTTCTCATCATTCAACACCTGCCTGTGAGGACATGTGATATTTGTTTTTCTGTTCTTGTGTCAATTTGCTGAGAATGATAGTTTTCAGATTCATCCATGTCACTACAAAGGACACTAACTCATCATTTTGTATGGTTGCATAGTATTCCATGGTGTATATTTGCCACATTTTCCTTGTTCAGTCTATCATTGATGGACATTTAGGTAGGTTCCAGGTCTATGCTATTGTAAACTGTGCTGCAATGAACATACGTGGGCATGTGTCTTTATAAAAGAACAATTTATAATCCTTTGGGTATATACCCAGTAATGGGATTGCTGGGTCAAATGGAATTTCTATTTCTAGATCCTTGAGGAATCACCAAACATTGTCTTCCACAATGGTTGAACTAATTTACACTCCCACCAACAGTGTAAAAATGTTCCTGTTTCTCCACATCCTCTCCAGCATACATTGTGTCCTGATTTTTTAATAATCACCATTCTAACTGGGGTGAGATGACATCTGAATGTGGTTTTGATTTGCATTTCTCTAATGAGCATTTTTTCATATGTTTGTTGGCCTGATCTATGTCTTCTTTTGAAAACTATCTCGGTCTGTTCATATCCTTCACCCATTTTTTTTTTTTTTTTTTTTTTGGTAAGCCTGTTTTAGTTCTTTGTAGATTCTGAATATTAGCCTTTGTCAAATATCTTTTTCCCATTCTGTTGGTTGCTGGTTCACTCTAATAATTGTTTCTTTTGCTGTACAGGAGCTCTGGAGTTTAATTAGATCCCATTTGTCTATTTTTGCTTTTGTTGACAATGCTTTTGGTGTTTTAGTCATGAAGTCCTTGCCTACACCTATGTCCTGAATGGTTTTGCCCAGGTTTTCTTCTAGGGTTTTCATGGCATTAGGTCTTATGTTTAAGTCTTTAATCCATCTGGAGTTAATTTTAGTGTAAGGTGTCAGGAAGGGGTCCAGTTTCTGTTTTCTGCACATGGCTAGCCAGTTTTCCCAACACCATTTATTAAACAGGGACTCCTTTCCCCATTGCTTGTTTTTGACAGATTTGTCAAAGATCAGATGGTTGTAGATGTGTTGCCTTACCTCTGAGGCCTCTGCTCTGTTCCCTTGGTCTATATCTCTGTTTTGGTACCAGTATCATGCTGTTTTGATTACCGTAGCTTTGTACTATAGTTTGAAGTAAGGTAGTGTGATGCCTCCAGCTTTGTTCTTTTCACTTAGGATTGTCCTGGCTATGCAGGCTCTCTTTTGGTTCCATATGAAGTTGAAGGTCATTTTTTTCCTACAAATTTCTTTCATGTCCTTTCATGAATTAAAAAATCGTTTTTTAAATCACTGAATAGTATTACATTGTATAATTTATCACAGTTTGTTAATTCATGTAGCCAAGAAAATGTCAGTTGCTTTGAAGCATTGGTAATTTTTAAAGAAAAATTGTTCTTCTCATTCATGTCCAGGTTTTATATAAATGTAAGTTTTCAATTCAGTTGAACAAATAAAAAGGAGTGTGATTGCTGGACCATATGGTATGATAAAAGTATGTTTAGCTTAGTAAAATACTGACAAACTATCTTCCAAATTAATTGTAGCATTTCGCATTCTTATTAGAAATAAATGAGAGTTCCTGTTGTTCCAAGTTCTCACCAGCATCTGGTGTTATGTTTCAGAATGTAGTCATTGTAATAGATGTGCATTAGTATCTCACAGTTTTTAAAATCTGCAATTCCTAAACAGCACACATTTTTATTAGCTGGCGTCTCATGAATTCACAAATTTTGCCTCCTTTGCATATCTTCCATAGCCCCATAATGTGTTTTAGATGCTATTTTGGCATTTTCCAGGTAGGCCTCCCATACAGATCAGTAAATTTCCACTTCTTTTTTTCTGGCTTTACCATATGTGGGTTCATAAACCTGAAACTTGTGGTCAACAGCTCTATAATGCTTGCCTGAACAAAGGTTATCTGACAGATGTGTTTTTCCTATAAGGCAAATCACAGCCTTCTTATACTTAAGAGCACTAGAAAACAGTGCCTCACTATATTTGGGGCCATTTTAAATGGCAAAATCAACAATACCAAAATCTGAAAAATCTGAAAACACCAAAATCTGAAAAATACAGTACTAAATTGACTGAAAAGGATAATTTCCTATAAGAGCTGAAACTCAAAGGCAGACCATTGCCTTGTTTGACCTTAGGTGGGAAAATATATGTTGGAGACTCAAATTTTGTGCTTCTGTACATATTATCTGCAAATGATTGTAACAAGTTTGAGAATATTGATTTTTAAATTACAAATAAGTTTCTTTTAGTACTAAATTAGCAAATACAAAATCCACAAATAATGAGAATTGACTGTATATTCTTGGGGTTCATGCTGTAGCATAAATTGTATATAAAAGTCTCCATATAGGTCGTGAAATATTAAACTATATAGAATTTGGATTCAAAATCCTTTAGATACAAAATACTCTTTTTTTCTAGGGCTTTCTAGACTGTACCATTCAACATGGTTTTCATACAACAGTACAACTTCCTGCACTTTCCTCAAAGAGAAACTCTGAAACTAAAATGCTTCGTGATCCTAAAAGAGGATTCGAAATGGAAGCCTAGTTGTTGTTGGAGAGAAATGTTTGAGAGGACTGGATGCGTCTGAAATCAAAAACATTCTACTGAACTGGAAAAACACTGAGTTCTGTACACTACCAGTGAGGGAAATTTCCCCACTGAAGTTCCCGTCTTTAGGCAGCAGTGCCCTTGTTTGTTTCATTAATTCTTTCATTTCTTTTTTAATCAGTTGGTAATATGGGTGTCACAAAAACATTCCCTGTTGAATATATACTGAACAAACTTAACTTCTCTTATTTCCACTAGCAAGAATACTAAAAAGTCAGAACACATCTTGATTATCAGTTGACAATTTTTGACCAGAGGCTCACAACTAAACATTTTCATCATATTCCATTCCTATATTTTTATGAAATAAAATCAAAACTGTAGTTACTTTTAAAAATGGTGTCACAGAAGTATAAATTTAAAAAATTGTTTAATTGTAGAATAGACTAATGAATTATTATGTGGGATAAAACACAGTCATTTAGTGTTTATGATCCTTAGTGGTTAAAGTGTTTTATATGTTTTTTATTGTATACACATTCACATACCTGATAAAAGAATGCATTTGTAAGTACACATTAAATATGTCCCTCAAATTGTCTTATGCATCCAGAAAAAAATAGTTTTAAAGGAAACAGTGACTACTGACTGAAAAAATATTGCTGCTGTTTATATTTTTAACACAAATTTTAAAAATTGTAAACAAAGCTGTGTGCAATTCAAGTTGACACCCAATGTTATAGTTTGGAGCCATTTTTTAAACATAATGCAATTTGAAACAAATTTAATAAAGCCTAATTTTCTTCAAAGTGCAGAAAATTAGAAAATAGCTCTCAGTGCCCATAAGGCAGCTAGCAAGGCTGTTGACTGAATTTCTTTCTTATTTTCATAGTTCAATGTATTTCTAAAAATAAAACAAAGGGAGGAAACAGCTACGCCATTGTACAAGTTATTCATTCATTTACATCAAAATATTTACCAGCACAACAAAGACATAGTAATGAATCTAAGCCAGTAATATTTAAATGAATTCCAAACATTTGAGAATTAGCAAGGCTATCTGTAGGTTCAATAAACTTTTTCAACATATGCATCTCCTTTGTGAAGTCAAACACCTCTAAATAGTACAAAAGCAATCGAACATGCGTTGTATCTTAGAAAAATGACCACATTTTCACCAGCAAATAATATCTAAAGCAACTGTCTATTAGAAAAAGCACATTTCATCATCATACAAACTTTTCAAAATTAAGTGATGAATAAAATATGTCAATAGTGATAGGCTTTAAAATGATAGCTATAAAAGGCAATAAGAGAGCTTTACTCCCTCTATGTAAAAGCAAACATATTAATTATAACCAATAAGAAAATCTTGTAATGCAGTACTAATTTGAGATTCTAAAGTTTCCCATTAGACTGAATTGGTGTTAAATATATTGATGCTAGAACATTTGCTTTTACAAAAATTACAATTTTTGATTAGTATTTTTAGCCAACTTATTTCTCATTTAGTTTCTAAAACCTACTTTGAAGGGGTTTATGTTTTCTGAATTAAAGTTTGCTGTTATACTTAATCCTTATCCTAAGTATTCACACAAAATAATACAAGAAAATTTCATTGTATCCACAAATCTATTATTGAATCAGTACATTAATGAAAACAAGGACTTTGAAAGTTTAGTCCTCCAAAAAGTAATTTTAAGAACTGGCAAAATTCATAAGAATCAACGTTTCAGAACTCCAGAAACTAACCAAAGGCTCACAACATGTTGGCAAATGTTTAGTCAAGAAAAACTGAATCTTCATAAAAATTGTGAGCTTTGTGACATTTTAACTAGCTTGCATTTCACCTTCCACATGTTCAGCTCAGCAATTGCCTCGAAAAACATCGTTTCACATTTTGGGTACCAAAAGGAGAAAAACCAACTTCATTACCAAGGAAGAATCTTGGGAAGGATCTATTTGATCTGTTTGGCAGTGCCCTGGAAGAGTAACTTGAAAGGCTTGTCTTTTCTTAGCTATATTCAAATTTGTCCAGAGCTAAACATCTCTCTGTGAAATGGGGGATATGGCGGAGGGAGGTCTGCAGAGTATTTTAACATCATACATATCTGAAATGAAGGATATGACTTGGGACAAACAATAAACTAAAATCTAAAAGATTTTTTTAAAAAGCTGAGGATGGAGATTTCT